GCAGCCCGGCCAGCAAAGCCACCTCCATTACCTGGATTGCTTGCCAACAGGGGACCGTGATGGGACTAGAAGGTGTGGTGGCACCAGCTGACAGCCGCCTCCGCGTCTCCTCACTGGCAGAGGACCGGGTGGGTGGGCCAGGTCACTGCTCTGGGCCCTGGAGGCCAGCCATGCCCTCAGCACCGCCACGGGAGAAAGATTTAGGACTCCAGTCTCGGACCCTAGCTGCTCTCCCGACGGGCACCTTGTGTCCTCCAGACAAAGTAAAACCTTCAAACCTACCTAGGGCTTTACACATGTGGGAGCCTTAGCTCTCCTTAAGATGACTGTGGTCTGATTTCATCATTTATTTTTCCTCTTATTTGCTGCCAAGGACCACCCACACCTGGCACGGAGTAGGTGATTAATAACTGGTTGCTTGTGTGTTTGTTTTTCATAGGCATAGGAGTTAGCAACTCTGAAACTACTTTCTGGGTATGCTAAGACTGCGCAAATAAGTCACCCGGAGCTAGATTTCTCACTGGAGAAAGAAGTTGCTAAGATGGAAAGGGAGACGGTTAGAATAAACCCAATCATCCTGGGTTGGAATTGGAGGTATCAGTATGAACTCATTTTTAATAGAGATAATTGTAGAAACATATATAGACGAACTATGTGTTTTTTTCCTTAGATCTGACCACACCAGTGGTCATGTAATGTAAGCACACCCCAGTAACAATGAACACACTGAATGCCCAGATCCTGGTTTTTGAATATCAGACTCCACCAGAAGGAACCAGGGTTCCTTGGAGAAATGGCCAATCCCCAGGCTGGCCCAGGGAAGATACAAGATGAACCTGAACATCTCGTGACAGGAAAATAAGGAGGGGCTCGGATTATGATGGGGACATGGCCCAAGAAGACAGAAGCCAGTTTGAAGAGGCCAAATCTAAAACAATTCAAGTGTTAAAATAATGGTAGTAACAGAGGATAACTCACTGAATAAGAGTCTGAGTCTACGATGACATAAATAATAAACAGGAAGGCCTGGGTGGCTCAATCAGTTGAGTGTCCAACTCTTGATCTCAGCTCAGCCCTGCCTTGGACTCCACGCAGGGCATGGAGCCTACTTAAAAATAAATAAGTAAATTAATTTAAATTAATAAATAGCAAACAGGAAGGGAAAGCTCAGGATTGAGTGCCAGCTAGTACACATAGGGAGTAGAATTGGAAAAGCACCATTGGCAGGCAAGGATCGTCAATGGATCTAGTGGGTAAGTCTGACGAGAAACAACGTATTCGTATGGTCTCACAGCATCAACCCAGAAAACGTTAACTATACACAACAGAATAGGCTACAGTGGAGAAACCTGGCAGACACTGACCAATGGATGAAAGTCAACATCACCAGTAGCGGGACCAAGAGGCAGCCGGTACCTCCTGCTGCGAGCTGGGGAGGACACATCATCACCTTTCTGGGCACTCCTGCCAAAAATGCATAACCTGAATTTGGTCATGAGAAAGCGTCAGTCACCCAAACATAGATTCACACTCTACCAAATAACTGACCTGGCCTCTTCATAAATGTCAAAGGTGTGAAAGACAAAGACAGACTGAGGACTCGCTCAGGTTAAGGAGGCCAAAGAGACTCAGGAACTAAATGCAGCATGTGGCTGGATTGAACGCTGGACGGAAAACAGTGGTTTCTCTTGGGATAATCGGGAAAATGTAGTAAGGTCTGCAGATCAGGCAATAGTATACCGATGACAGTTTCCCGATTTCGATCACTGTATCGTGGTTATATAAGGGAATTCCTGGGGCGCCGGGGTGGCTCAGCTAAGCGTCTGCCTTCGGCTCAGGTCATGATCCCAGGGTCCTGGGATCGAGCCCCGCATCGGGCTCCCTGCTCGGCGGGGAGTCTGCTTCTCCCTCTCCCACTCTCGCTCTTTCAAATAATAAAATCTTTTTAAAAGAGAATTCCTTGTTTTTTAGGAAATACACACTAAAGTCTTTAGAAGTAAATGCATATCATATTTGCAATTTTCAAACAGTTTATATACATGTAGATACAGACCAGGAGAGAATGAGAATAAGGTTAACTGGTAAAATGTTACTATTTGGGGGTGGGGGCGCCTGGTGGCTCAGTCAGTTGAGTGTCTGACTCTTGATTTCGACTCAGGTCATGATCTCAGGGTCATGAGATCTAATGCCATAGGCTCTGCGCTCAGTGGGGAGTCTGCTTGTGCCTCTCCCTCTGCCCCTCCCCCGGCTGTGCTGTCTCTCTTTCAAATAAAATCTTTAAAAAAAAAGTTACTATTTGGGGAAACGAGGTAAAATGGATGGAAATTCTTTGTAGTGCTCTTGCAACTTTTCTGAAAGTCTAAAATTATTTCAAAACAAAAGTTTAAAAATAAATGTTTGCGGGATAAAGGCATGAGGAATTATCTAGCATAGCCCAGGGAATTAACAGCCATTCAGGGTGTGGCGGTCATTAGTAGAGAAGTGGGTGCCTGTGGGAGCCATGAGTTGCCCCTTAACTAGAGGTATCAGAATGTTCTTGGCCAGAGCTTTTCAAACTTTCCTGTGCATGAGAATCACCTGGAGAGGGTTTCTGTTGGTTTTTTTGTTGTTGTTTTCCCCCAGCGGAGGCTCTGGTGCAGGTCTTGGTGGGGGTAGAGAGTCTGCATTTCTAACAAGCTCCAGGTGACAGTAATGCTGCTTTTCTGCTGGTCCGGGTATCACCCTGTGGGTCACCAGGGGGTAAATACAGCTGGGATGCAGATCACACGTTCTCGAGTCTGGCTGCAGGACCCTGAAGAACTCGCTTTCATTGATTTTCCTAGGTGATTCTCCTCTGCAGCCAGGATTAAACCTTTACATTGATGCCTCTCCCTTTCCATCATCTCAAATTGAGACCCTAAGGCTGAATACCACCCTGGAAGCTTCCATCAGCTTCCAGAGCTGCATTCTCTGCTGCTGCTGTGTCCATCATACGCCCAGAAGCTGGATGAATCTTCTGGTTGACCGTGGTTTAAACACGCAGTAGGATCCAAGCCCCGCATGGAGTCCAAGACAGGGCTGAGCTGAGATCAAGAGTTGGACACTCAACTGACTTGAGCCACCCAGGCCTTCCTGTTTATTATTTATGTCATCATAGACTCAAGTTTTGTGCAAACCCTTCCCCCAGGCACCAAGCCCTCTGCCATGTGTCCACAACCTACTTTTCCTAGCTGCTCTCCAGGGCTCCCCCTTGATGCTCCGTTCCCAGGAGAGCCGTTCACCCCCCTGCAGCCCAGGCTCCACCTTCACGCATTCGCACCTGTAACCACCTCACACGCACACAGCATTGGTCTCCGGTCTCACTCCCGGGTGAGAGCCACCCATTGGTTCCTTCCTCCATGAGGGCCTGTGCTTCCAAAGTCACAGACCCCCCCACCCTCCAGCTGGGCCCACCCCAGGGCTCACATTCCTTTGGGGACAGGCTCCCTTCACTCAGAACAGAGGAGCAAGCACCTCTGCCGCTGGGCCACAGGTCACCCTTATTCCTGTTCGTGTAGGACAGGGCTCGCTGCCTGCCGCGTGTGGGCGCGGGTAGAGACGGGGCAACCCAGGTGTTGCCTTGAAATTCTGGCCCGGCACCCAACTCCCCATCCCCTGGCCGCCTCCCCACCCTCCCTCCTTCAGCTGAGCGTGTGCCTCGGATCTGAAGGACCTGGAGAAAATAGGTCACAGGGAGGTGCCGCCTGGGTTGTCCCCTCAGAGGAGGGTTTGGCCTAGGAGAGAAGCCACATTTGTTAGGAGCTGAAAACCAAACTTGAGAAAGGGACCTGGGAGGCACAAGGAGACAGACCATCTCCTTCTGCAGTGTTCCCCTACCTCCTTCTTGGCTCCTCCCTCCTCCACAGCCGGGCCTCTCCAGGCCTCATTGGCCCGGAATAAGACTTTGTTTGTACTGACCTAGCACCACGCACCGCCCCCCATGCACGGAGCCCGCTGGAGCGGATTCCTGTTAGTAGGCTTGGCTGCCCGGGGATGGGCTGCGGTAATCATGAGGATGAGGGGCTGCGCCTGGGCCTCAGTTCCCAGGAGAATCGCAACTGAAATCAGAGAGGGGAGCAAGGGCCCCTGGCTCAGAACAGCTGCTGGAGGGCCAGGCTCAAGTCCCCAGAGGCTTCTGAGGAGGAGGACTCAACCATGCCTCTGGCTCCTGCCCAGCTAGTTGTCTCTCCCTTGGGGATGTTCAGGCGCAAACTTCCGGAAGAGGCTCATCCCACCCTCATGAAAGGAAGATGTCCTCTTCCACCTCCCATCAAAAGCTCTTGAGGCTTTGCACCCTCAGTCTCCCTGCAGATCCTTTTTGGCTGAGTGTTTCCAGATACTCAGCCCAGCTGAGTTCCAAACAGAGAGGCAGGAACTTAGAAGCAGATATGAGGAAGACCCCTAAAAAAACAAACATCCCATTCCCAGATTTGGGAATGTCCTCCCCACTCCATCCCGTCTCTCTAGTCTCAGGCCCCACGTCTCTCCAGGAAGGAGCTGTCTTTGAGATACCAGAGCCCCCACGGCCACCTCCACCTCTGTCCTCCAGACTCCCTTGGGCTGCCCCATGCAGGTCAATGCTTGTCGCCTGCCCTGTTGTCTCTGTCTCCCAGGTGGCTGTATGAACTACTTGCCAGGCAGGTATTTTCCCACTTGTTTACAATTACCATAATTTTCCAATCCCCAATCAGTATCTCACAAATAACGTTAGGGTCACTCTTGGGTAGAAGAGGCAACCTGGATGCAAAAATATTGTAGTTTGAAAGGATTAGAGGAATTATGGAAGAAATAAGTAAAAATATTTTAAATTGAGGCTATCTGAGAAAATCCAAGACATAGATACAGGCGCTGTGTATATATTCTCTTATAGCTCCAGGCTAATCACTCCCAGAGCACTTGGATCTTCCATCTCTTTGACATTTTCTCCGTGTTTTACCCAGCCGCTCACATCCATTCCATTCATCCCCAATCAACACATTACGTGGTTTTTCCATGAGTCAGTTTTTATTGGTTTTTGAAGAATGAATTATTGGCATAAGGCTCAATGAGTTTCAAAGCAAATGACAGAAGGAAACTACATCATACAGGGAGGTGGGAAGACCCAACAGGGAAGACTCCAGAGCAGCTCTGACCCTCACCTGCAAGAGTGGGTCTTGCTTGTGAGGACCCTGCAGGCAGGACCCAGCCCAACTGAGAAGGACTGCATGGAGGTGACTGAGCCAGATCTCAGGGGATCTGAAGAGGTACCTCAGTCCTCTCTGAAAGACAGCCATTTCTAGCCTTCTCAGAACCTTCCAGCCTTAAATCTTTGCCACCAATAGCAGCTTGACCACCCATGAGGACTCTCCCTTCCTCTGAGATAGCCAGCCTATTCTCCCTCACCTGTGCCTTTTCAGATGGCAGCCTCCCTGACCAGGGACAGAGGAAGGCCCCTGCAGAGAAGAGGGAGAGAAGGAGGCAAGAGTTGGTTCCAGAGAGGTGGCAAAACCCAGTGATCCCTGAGGATATTTGCCCTTCCCCTCCACTGTGGTGGGTCTTCCCACCATGTTTGGGGGGTAAAGAAAAGGGGGCTTCTCAGTAGGAGAGCTCCTGTTCCCCCACTCCCAAGGAGGGCTCCTCCTCTATGAGCTCCAGGTCGAACTCATCTTCCAGGGACCCTCCAACAGGCAGGAGGCGGAACTTCTTCCCCTTCAGGGTGCACGTGCGATGCTCGAAGTCCAGGACGGCATTGTGGTCCTGGAGCACGTCAGTACCAATGATGGCTTCTTCAGCACTGGCATTGGCCACTAGGAACTCTGCCTTCAGCTTCAGCTTACCCAGGGACACCACTGTATCCCAGATGCCCAGGATCTTCATTTCAGCCCCATTGGCCACTTTTACCACATTCTCAAAGGGCCGCAGGGTGTCCAAGTCACCATCCGTGACCTCCTCCCACAAGCCGGGGTGGACCACAGAGACCTGGGCCCCGGAGTCCACCAGGAACCTCACGGGCACTTTGCCAATTTTCCCCTTGAGGTAGTAGCCCTTACCCATGCTGTTGGCAAAGACGATCTCCTTGGGCAGGTGGCTGGGGGCGGCCTCGGGCCCCCCGAAGGCCTGCAGGAGGGTCTCTCTCACAGTCCCATAGTCTTCCTGGTCCTTGGGGCTGAGTCTACTGTAGAGCTCCAGGGCATCTCCCCTGAGGGACTCTTTCAGGAACCTTAGTTTGGTGGCATGGTCCCAGTGGTTGAGATCGTTGATGACTTCAAAGCGGTGCAGCCAGAGGTATGGGGCTACATTCATCCCATCAAAGGGCTCCGGGATCAATGCATGCTCCCGACGGCCCTCCTGGCTCCTGGCTCCACTCCCCGCCATCCCTCTGCCCTCCTCTGGAACTGCAGCAGCAACCCACGCCAAGTAGAGCAAACCACAGAGCAGTGTGGGCGCAATCACGCTGGAGAACAAGGCCTCTCTGAGTGTTGTTTGCTGCCCTTCTGGGGCAGGTGGAAGGGGCCCGGCGCAGGTTGTCTGACTGACTGCTGGGCACGGAGACAGGCAGCTGCTATGGCCTGCTCACTCTGCAGAGCCTTTTTGATGCCTAGCCTAGGCCCCCAGGGCTCCCCATTCTCCTTTGTTCTGGAAGCCCCGCCCTTGCTCAGCCCGCCCTCCTGCCAGCATCCTGCCCAACGAGCAGGATCAGTGCCTCACCCTTCTGCATCTATCCCTGGGACTGGTACAGGCCAGCCCACGGTGCAAGAAAGTCCAGCCCCAGTCAGAGGGGACCCACTCAGTACCCTCCCCAGAGGGTTTAGCCTGTGTCCGAGAATAACAGATGAGGACACAGAGTATGTTATGACATCCAGGTGTCTGTCATCAGCTGGAGAAGGAAGGGGAAGGCAAGGACCAAAGGCCCATCAGCTTCTAGCCTGGGGAAGCCCCTTTGCCCTCAACCCCCAGTGGCCACTTTGAGTGGCTAAGGAAAAGGAGCATACATTCACTACGCTCTTACTTTGTGCAAGGCCTGGGGTAGGTGTTTCTCATACATTCTAAACCAAGTATGGAATCCCGTAAGATTCTCTAGAGGGAAAAACAGAGGATAGTCCCAGAATCAAGAATGCACAGAAATTGTTTAAGTGAGGGGACACACACACACACACACACACACACACACACACACAAGCATTTACCATGAACTTGATTGCTACAGTCATTTTTCCCTCGTTGATCACATCTAATTCAAAGTCAGCACTTGGAGGGGAGGGGGGAGGGGGCAGGCCTAGGCCAGAGCACCCTCATTAAGGCCTTGAAGTGGGTTGGTGCCAACTCTGAACTTCTGGGAGTGTACGTCAGGATCCAGATGGGCTCCAGCTCCAGCACTGGGTGGGCCCCAACCTCTGAGCCACCGATGTCGTCTCCTCCCCTCCTGTTCCCTCTCACCCTCCAGGAACCTTCCAAGAGCCCCTTCCTCAAGCTCTGCAGCCCTCCCTCCCCACCCCCCTCGTTCTGTGCTCATTCATGGAAAGAGCAGCCAGGGAATCTCACTCCCTTATGTTCTGAGAAGGGGAAATGTCCGCCATGTTGGCAAAGCCAGTGGTGAGGTACTGGAAGGCTTTGGATGGAGGAAGTTGGCTGTGTGACCTCCTGCTGGAGAGTGCAGGCTGCCTTGGGCCACCCCATGGATTCCCAGAAGGCAGATCTGTGAGACCCAGAGTTGGAGCCTGACTTGGGCCTGTGTAGAGAGACTGGGGCTGTTGGGGGGACCCACTTTCATGACCTCCTTCAAATGTCATCCCCTCTATGGAGCCTTCTCCTCTGCATCTCACACATGTGCCCACTCCCGGCTGAGCACATGTTGCAGTGTGGTGTGCTGGTTCATTTATAACTCCGTCTCCTGCAATGAACCACAGTGTGAGGTTCACACAAACCAGACACATGTGACTGTCTCCAGCCCCCACAGAAACTTACTCTCGGGTCAGCAGGTGTTCCCTGCTGGGCTCCAGACCTGGCTGAGTGCTGTCACCAAGCAAGAGGGTTTAAGACAAGAGAGGAGCAGGAACGGTGGCACACCTGCGGCTCTGGGCTGTTTTTCCTGGCCCGGAGCCTGTTTCTCATTGGTTCCCTGTACCACTCATCCCCCAGTGCCTGGCTGACTCTGAGAGGACCCTGGCCCCAGTCCTGCCTCTGGATGTGCCCAGGGTCCCTGGCTATACTGAAAGATCCTTAGTCCCTGCTGCTGTCTCAGCCCCTTCCACCTGACACAGTGAGCTAGCAGAGAGGCAGCTGGGTCAACACCTCTCATCACAGCTGCCTGGCTAAGGTGGGGCCCTCGTGTCATTCCAGAAGCCCAGAGGAGGGGGAAATGGAGTCACTAGGAAGGTGTCAAGTGCAGGTGGGTCTCCAAGAAGATTGCACCGTGAAAAACCTGCACGCAGAGAAATGGTCTGGCCACCCACAAGACCAGGAAGCCCCATCTGCCAGTGAACTTTGTGGACAGCCTCCCAACTCCTGGGATGGGCGCTGTGTCGTTCTGTGGTCCAGGGAACTGACCTAGTAGTGGCTTCCTGGCTACCTGGTATTCCGCACCGGGCGCACCTGGTCCCCTGGAAGTGGGAGTGTGTGAGGAGGTTGCGAAGAGGTGGGACGGAGGCAGGTGAGAGGCAGGGTGGCTTGTCACCTGGCAGACTGCTAGATGCTCCAAACTGGAGCTTGTCAAACCATCGGGCAGATATTGAGTCATACCTCCCCATTGCTCCGGACTAGAGATAGGTTGTCCCTGAGACTTGGGCTGTGGCACTTGCTTGGGTTTGGTGTTCCCATTGGCAAAGCCATTTCACATCCACCACCTCCGCGGCACCACGGAAACCCGTGAGGCCAACCAGCCGGCCTTCCTCCAGGCCTGCAGCACAAGGGGTGTGAAGGGCGATGGCTGGCCTCAGGCCCAGGCTCACGCACAGTCCGACGCAAGGATAAGGGCATTTTGCAAATACAGGCAGGGAAGTGGGAGTCGGGCTCAGGGAGACATGCGGGTGGGTCCTGGGGGCTTGTGTGGTTGATGGCCTCTCGTGGGGACGGTGAGCGAACGGGCAGTGAGAGCTGGTTGTTAAATGTTCAAGAGTTCTGTAAGTCAGTTCTTAAACCAGCTGGTAGCTTGAAATTGGACCTGGTGGCAGTACTGACACCACGGACATTAGCAAATTCTTAACCAGGACTTTTTTTTTTCCTGGAAAGCCAGCTGGTCATCCCACCCCTGCATGGGGGCCTCGGTCATGCCCTCTCTCTAGGGCAGGTCAAGCCCTGTGGCCAGTGATTAACAAATTTATTGAAATCTCCATCCACTCCTGCCCACTCACATGGGCCTAAATCCCCTTTCTTGCCCACCTTGCCCTTGACATTTGCCCAAACAACCTTTACACTCCTGGGTCCTTTGGCTTGAGGCAGGGGGCCCTCCTCAGAGGCCAGGCAGGTGTTCTGCTCGTACAGGCCCATCTGGACCCCCCGACAGAAGCACACGGGGCCCTCACAGTTACTAGGAGAGCAGGAAGGCCTTGAGTTTAGGGACCGGTCTCTGGCTAGGATCAGGAACATGGTGAAATAACTTCTCACGTTCCCTTAACCCTTGGGAGAAGCCATAACTGGAACACCCCAGAACCACTGAGGGACCTTGGAATTGCTATGCTAATCTACAATGATGAGCTAAACCAGCTGGGGCAGGCCAGGTGCCACAAACTCCTCCCAGAACCTAGGAAATCATGGTTAATTATTGACAAGTATAGGTATTGGGGCAGGAACACCCTCTTTATTATCCATTAGCATCTCCTGAGTGTGCTCTGAAGCAGGCACACCATACTCAACCGGAAAGGAGGCAAACCAGGACAATAAACAGGAAGGACCTAGGGAATCCCCACCCTCCACAACCCCTCACTGAGAATCTGGGGCTGTGAGCTCTGCTGGCCCTTTGTTGCCCCCAGCTCCCTGGCCCCCTCTGCCGTTTTCCCCCCGGGCAGTTGTGCTATGCACAAGATCAGTAGAAAGCCCATCAGGCCCCCAAGAACTGAAGCCCTCGGTGGGCAGTGGGGGCAAGGGGGCCTGGATGTCCTCAGGAGACTGTTTTGAGCAAAGAGCCGAGAGACACACACACCTTATGGTGCCCGTGATGAGGTTCCAACTGAAATGTAAGGAGGATTAGGAGATGCACACGCCACCAGTTGCAGCTCCTCTCCAGGCTGCCTCTGGCTAGCACCCCCATCCTCCAAATCAGGGTCACCCTGAGACCTGGATGGGGAGAGAGCAAAGGGATTCAAGGATTTACCAGGGCAGCACGGGAAGGCTGAGGGGAGACCATAGGTCCACACTCTCCAGCCTGGGCAGGCTCCGTGGGTGTTTAGCGTATGACGTCACGTGGGGCTCTGCGCTCAGAAAGGCCAACCTGGCTTTGGCGCTGCACTATCTTGAAATTCCCAATAAATATGAACGAGGGGTCCCATGCTTTCATTCTGACCCAGGCCCTATAAAGTACATAGCTGGTGTCTCCACCTGGTTTGATGGGGACTTCTCTTCCACACCCCCATCCCCATCCACACACGCACGTACCCCTTCACACCGCACTCATAGAGGCCGTCCTCCCTGCACGCTGCACACACCTCCTGTACATGTAAACCCTACACCACCCATGCACAGTCACACTACAGTTCTCCGTTCAAAATGGCTATGAAATTGTGTAACTTGCATATAGAATTCAGCTCCCACCTTTCATTTCTCAGATGTATTTGCACACACATTTACACTGAGTATTAAAATCAGATTTATTGGAGGCACCTGCTGTTTATTAGCCTCTGGGCACACTTGTTGGCTCAGAGAACTAGGCAGGTCCCCATCACCATGGCTTACAAGCTAATGAAAACAGGATACAGATGTTTAACAGCCCGTTTTGAAGAATTTAAGATGGACATGTATATGCAGACTGACCATGTGAAGCAATCCCAGTCACAGCCATGCCGCTCTGAAAGTGGGTCATCCTGCCATCTCCCCTCGACTGTGCGGGGCCAAGGACACAGGGGCCTCCCCTCCTCCCCTCTCTGGGCACTCACCACCATGAGCAAGGCCCTCACTGCCGGCCCCCCTCCTGCGCAATCCCCCACTGCCTGTGCTGAGGCCCCGTCCCGGGGCTGGTGCGGGTGCATGGGTGTGTAGGGTTGATGGTACAGCTCCTAGGAGCAGGAGCCACAGCTGGTTCTGACGTTCTGCTTCAGTGGGGCCTGGCATTGGGTCTTCAAGCTGAAAAGAAGGGCAAAGAGGTGAATCCTGCACAAAAATCTAATTATGGATTCAGATCAGAGACCAAGGTGGGGCTGGTGGGCTCTGACCAAAGCAACACGTGTGGGGAAACCCAAGGCACCAGCAGGTTCCCTATTCTCAAGCCACAAAGCCTCAGACTACCAGCACTGCTGTTCCCAAGCAGGAAGTACCCAGTCCTCACAACAGTCATGGCTAAAGACACTTAGCAGAGATAGCTTTTCCTTAACTGGTCCTCCTTCTTGGTCCCTGCCACTGCCCTGACCGAACAGGCACTTCTGCCCGTGAGGCCCTTCCCTAGTTCTCCACTATTCCAGAACCTCTCTTTGCCCATTTGGATTGCCCTCACCCTCCTTTACCATCAGTTCAGAACCCTTCTACCAGAAAACCGCCCAGCACAGCCCACCAGCTGAACCTACTCTGTCAGCAGGCAGCAAGATGCCTGGTGCCAATCGTGGCCCTGGAGGGTCCCAAAGGGTCCTGGAAGTGTTTCGGGGACAGTGATCTCAGGCCTCAGTGCTACTGCCAGTCCTCCAGGCCTGGGGTCAGGGCCATGGCCAACCAAGAGTCAGAACACATTACTGACTAACTCCCTACAAGTTCAATAGGCCAAAAGTGGTTCTTTCCCTATGTTTATCTTTCAAGCAAATATGAATAGCACTTAAGGTGTTCTGAAGGCCTCCCTTCTCCCCTCCCCACAGCCTGCCCTCCAAGTGGGTTCCCACCTTCTTCCCAAGCCCTGATGCCCCCACCCTAGACCAAGCCCTCATCTCTTCCTGCTCTGATTTCTGCTACCCTCCCTCTGAGCCCAGGGGTTCTGCCTGGCCAGAGGGGCCCGGCAGATCCCCTCCTCCTCTCCCATCTCCATGGTCCCCTTCACTTAATTGAGGGTGGGAGTGGGACTTGTAAGACAGTCTCAACAGCTCTGGGGACACTGACCCACTTATGGCAAACACCCCTGAAATTTATGAAACATTCAGGCAATCAAAATATACAGATTGGGTATTCTCCAAATACAAGTGGGCTTCTAATGACACCAGGAAACTTGGCTTAGAGCTAGACACATGGAGACTTTGGTCCAACTTAAAATACCTCAAAGGCAGCTTTGAACTGATCCTGAAATAGTTTTAATTGCTGCTAATGATAACTGGTATTGTGAGCAATGCAAACATATAAAATAGCCTCAGAGCAGGGAGCTGCTTCTTGTGAATCCACTGCCAACTTAGCTTTGCTCCTAACTTACAGAAGACAGAGACAAAGCTGGGGCACTTTCCCTCTGGCATGTCAAAGTGGTGTCATTTCTTTACCATCTGGAAGAAGTGGGGGGAGGTGGGAAAGGGAAGGAGGAAAAACAGCAGAGCCCTAACATGTACAGAAATCCCCAAGTTATTGGGAGTAGCAGTAACAAACATTTATTGAGCACCTAGTGTGTGCCAGACACCATGCTGCTGGCTATAAATTAGTGTAAGGCAAGTCTGCAGCACAGATGGGAATGGGTAATGCCAAATAAGTGGGTTGAGTCAATTCCATACATATTTCTTGAGGCCAACTGTGCCTCACATTGAGATGAATCAGCGGGGCCCTACCCTCACACAGTGCTCAGGTGAGCTGGGGAGACAGGCTCAGACACAGATGTCCCGAATCCAGAGATGAGTGTGGAAGGTGGGCAAGACAGTGGTCCAAGGAGCACTGGGCAACTCATCCCATGGAAATCAACCTATATTACTCAAGAAAAACAAAAATGAAAATAATGTTAAGGGGAAACCTGCATTGGCACTGAAACCAAAGAATGAGGGTACCCACAAACCACAGACTTGAATCAGTTGTGGTTGCTCTCTACAGTCTCTGTGGAGGGCTTTGGGGGTGAGGGCCCTGGGACTGAGCCAGTTCATATGGACACACCAGACAGGAAGGTTTTGGGGGATGGAGTAGTTTTCTGGATAAAAAAAATCCAGTTAAAAATATGTACATAAAAGCACAGAAAAAAGACTGGAAGGAAATACACCAAAACAGTGATAGTACTTACTTTGGGGTGGTAGGATCATTAATGATCTTAATTTTCTTCCATATACATTCTGAGAATATATTCTCTAGTAAGAAAAACATTATTTAAAAATAAAGAAACTTGAGGCGCCTGGGTGGCTCAGTCGGTTAAGCAACTGCCTTCAGCTCAGGTCATGATCCCAGGGTCCTGGGATCGAGCCCCACATCGGGCTCCCTGCTCTGCGGGGAGCCTGCTTCTCCCTCACCCACTCCCCCTGCTTGTGTTCCTGCTGTCGCTCTCTCTCTCTGTGTCAAATAAATAAATAAAATCTTTAAAAAAATAAATAAATAAAAATAAAAATAAAAATAAAGAAACTTGTTCTTACAATTTCTGTAAGCTTAAAATTATTTCCAAATAAAGTTTTCAAACAGGGATATGTGGGAAATCTCTCTATACCTTTTGCTCAATTTTGCTGTGAACCTAAAACTTCGCTAAAAAATAAAATCTATTTTTTTAAAAGATTTTATTCATTTATTTGACAGAGAGAGACAAAGCGAGAGAGGGAACACAAGCAGGGGGAGTGGGAGAGGGAGAAGCCGACCCCCCACTGAGCAGGGAACCCGATGCGGGACTCGATTCCAGGACCCTAGGATCATGACCTGAGCCAAAGGCAGACACTTAACAACTGAGCCACCCAGGTGCCCCCAAAATAAAATCTATTAAATGATTTTTGTAAAGTTTTTAAAAAGGTACTTACAGGGGGAAGTCATACAATAACATTGACAATCATAATAATCACTGAAGGTTGATGATAGGTACAAGAGGGTTCATTTCAGTTTCCCACAACTTTTGGGTGTGTTTGAAAATTTTCCATAGTAAAAAGTAAAATAAGTAAACTAAAGCTCTGTGCCAAGACCCTCTCCAGGCTGGTCTGCCCAGTTCTAGGCCCAAAGCCTGGGCAGTCTAGATGTCACCCAGTCCTGGGCAGTGCAACCACTGGTGCCCGGGACAGGCAGTCTCAGCTGTGTCTCAGTGTCCCTGCTCAGCATCCTCTCCCAGGCCCCCCTGAAGAGATTCTCAGCTAACTCTTGCCAGCAAGACTGACCTGCACACTGGGCCCCAGGCTCTGGGCTCAGCACACAACCCTGCTCCTCCTCAGTCCCGGCCCCATCCCCATGGCAGCAACACCAGCCTTGCCCCTGATGCACCAGAGGCATGCACCTTCCTGCCTGGCTGCGCGCACCAACCCCCCCCGCCACCTGCCCACCCAACTGCTTGTTGCAGGTGTCCCTGTCCTATACCTTTTTTTTTTTTGTCATGGGTTCCCCTCTCTCAGCCAAGTCAACATGTACCAGTCTCTCACGTCTTAAAAAATATATCCCTCACATTGTCCAGCAACCCCCTTGGTCAATGATTCCCCCTAGAAGGGCTGAAGTCCAGCCCGCATCCTCTGGCCAGGCCAGCGTGCCGGAATGAGGGCCTGGAGGAAGGAGCCCACCTTTCTGATTTGCACAAAGGTGCAGCTCTGCTTCCTGCCTGCCTCACTGTGTCACCCCACTCACCCCCAAAGCCCCTGGCTCCTGCCCCCGACCCCCCACTGCACCCCTGCCCAGCACATCAGTGGCCTCCCAATGGCCACATCCCATGACTCCTTCAAGGAATTTGCTTTTCTGAAGCATCTGTATCACTGCTTTTCCTCCTAAGTCTTTTCTGTCCCATTGGGTCCCGGGACCCAAGTTTCTGTATCTTGTGCCTCCAAGACCACTCTCCTCAGTCTCCTGTGGGCTCCTTTCGCCCCTCGATAGCACCCTCTCTCTCACTCTGCACTCTCCCCAGACTGTACCCTGGGCCTAACCTCTCTGCTTTGCTCCCACTGCCCACCGCCACATCCACCTACAGCTGCCGCTTCCATTTGGTTCTAAGTCTTTTATTTTTTTTTAGTAATCTCTACATGCAACGTGGGGCTCAAACTCATGACCCCAAGATCAAGAGTTGCATGCTCTATCACCTGAGCCAGCCAGGCGCCCCTTTGAACAGTGAACTCGTTATATCTTCTCCCCAGGCCCTTGCGGCCCCCTGTGTTCTTTTTCTGGGTAGAAGGTACCACCACCCAGCCAGTTTCCTGAGTCAACCACAGCGGGGGCACCCTCACCTCCTCCCTCTTCTCAGAGCCCAATCCCCTCATGGACGGGTGATCACAGTCGGCCAGCTCCTCTTCCCGAGTCCTCCTGCCCCTGCACCCACACTGCCTTCCCTCAGGCCCCACCACTGCAGTGATGGTGCTGCAGATCTCCTCCCCATTAATCCACTCTCCTCACGGCCACCCGCGTCCTGAGATGTAAGGCCACTCATGTCATCCTTCTGCTCAAAATTCCTCCATGGCTGCTCATCCCAAAATAAAATCTCAACTCACAACATAGCACGTGAAGGCCTCCTCCCTAACTCATGCTCCGCCTACACCAAGTGGCTCATGGTTCCCCAGACATGATGGGCTTGCTTGTGCCTTTTCATAAGCCATTCACCTGACCAGGCAAGCCTTCCCCACAGGCCTGTTCTGGAGAACCCCAACTCTTCCCATCTAAGGCACTGCCACCTCTGGGAAGTCTCCCTTGATTTCCCTGGCAGACTTAGGGGCTCCCCCCTAAGCTCCCATCACAGAGACTATAACCCTTATGCTGCCTGCAAGCTCCCAGTGGCATGACCCAGGCCCTCTTAAAGTTGGGAGACACAATCTAGGCATGGAAGTCTTTCTGACTTTGCTCATATTGTTCCCTCTGTTCATCCATAAGCTGGGTGTCCTCCAAACCCTGCTCACCTTTACCCTGCTCTTCCTCAGTGGTCACTCTCTCCTCCAGACTTGGAATATCAGGCCTGGTGATTCCGTCTGTAGCTGCTGAACAGTGGCATTCAAACATTTTTATTTACTGTAAGCATAGAAAGACAAACATTTTTCATCATATGCTAGTACACACCTGCATTATAATACATGAAATATATAAGTAACTGAAACAAAAATTTTTTTGTAAAAATATTTACTACCTGTAATATCATCTGATATCTTCTAATTCAGTTGCCTTTTCTTTTTTTTAATGCTGGTAATGACACATTCAATTAAGTTCCACAAACTGGCCCCCTCACACCATTTGAAACCTCTGCTACAGCCAGTGGGGATCACTAAAGGTTTCTAGCAGGGGAGCAATGGGATTAGAAGCGGGGGTTAGAGGGGCGCCTGGCTGGCTCAGTTGGTGGAGCATGCGACTCTTAATCTCGGGGTTGTGAGTTTAAGCCCCACATCGGGCATAGAGATTACTTAAAAATAAATAAAATAAAATAAAATAAAATAAGGGTGGGTTATAATAGTGCTTCTCAAATATTCTAAGGGGAAGGACCAATTTTGTAAGTTCCCAATCTGTCATGTACTTTATTTTTTAAAAATACAATAAAACGAATTATTAGAAAATAAAGTAACAAAGATATTTTTAAAAAATACAAGCACCAATTCATTATTATTAACTTCCAGTAGACACTGTGGAGTGGCGCAGCAAGCATGTGCTGGGAGGCAGACACCAGCCTTGGGTAACAGGCTGGGGAGGCTTTCCCAGAACTTTGATGCCCGTAAGCCCTTGACATGCGGCCACACCTACCCTGCCTATCTCTGCCCTGAAGAGATTCCTATTTGCATAGTCTGAGGGGCTCTGCCAAGGAGAGAAGTGCCACAGTGCAGCCTCCTGCCTTGTCAACAGAGCCTGGTGCCTGAGTTCGCATCCTGACTCAGCCACTAACTGGCTGTGGGCTCTGGATAAGGACTTAACCTCTCCCAGCCTTGGTTTCCTCTAGGATTGTCCTGGGAGATAATACAGCAATCCTCATGGCAGCGCTTGGCCTGTGGCCGGAATCTGGTTCACACCCCATCTTGTCGCCCTCACGGTTACAGTTCTGTCGCTGTGGTCTCTGCTGGCTTCCTGAGTCAGCCTCATCCTCCCAGGCCCCTCCTCTGTGTCCCTCGCTGCCCACTTGGGCCAAACCTTCACCCCACCTCACCTCCTCACCCGTCTGCCTCTCACTCTCAGGACATAGCTTGCACCCTCCCTGGCAGAGGAAATAGTGGGGCCCAGCTGCTTCCCGCCCCAGGCTCTCTTCACTTCTACATCCTTTCTCAGAACTCTCCCTCCAGCCCAATCCCTCCACCTGAGCCTCACTTACCGGCCGCTAGTCCCTCCACTGATGGAAGCTTCTTTCCATTGATGATTCCCTCCCTCTTCTGGAAATCTTTCCAAAGAGTCCAATCTGGTCTCTGGTCATTCCTCAGCCTAAGGCAATCTGCCCAGTGGTGTGCTGGTAAATACATAACAACAGGTACTCTGGAGAAAAAAATGTAATCACCTATGAGTTCATTTTAAACTTTACTGACGTAAAGGATGTTTAGCAATTTACAGGTAGCGATAAAATATACAGTAGTCTTGGGTGCCTGGATGGTTCAGTCGTTAAGTGTCTGCCTTCAGCTCAGGTCATGATCCCAGGGTCCTGGGATCCAGCCCCACATCAGGCTCCCTGCTCAGCGGGAAGCCTGCTTCTCCCTCTCCCTCTCCCCTGCTTGTGTTCCTTCTCTCGCTGTGTCTCTCTCTGTCAAATAAATAAATAAAACCTTTAAATAAATAAATAAATAAATAAATAAATAAATAAAATATACAGTAGTCTATACTGTAAATTGCATATAGCAAATTGAGTCTTACAGAAAGCTTTCATTGATTTTTACCAACCTGCTAAATCCATAACTAACCTATAATTATACTTGACAAATGAGTGTAGTTCTAACGTGAATATTGGTTGATATTTTTGCTTATGCCGACTAATAAGAAAAAGTGAAACAACAAAGATACATATTGCAAATTCACTCCTTTGTCAATGGTGTAAGCAACTTCTTTACCGAATCCTGTAATACTTTTTGAATACTGGAAGAACATCTGCTCAATTTCTCTGTACCATTCACAACATAATGGCTATAGGCATAAGATATATGGAAGTCAAAGTGCATTATTAACATTTTCTCCATAATTTTCCTAAGTCAAGGCAGTCAACAGAGCAATAAATCAGGCCCCAATGTGTGGTGTTTGTCAATTTCCATGGTGCAAATATTCCCACTATGGCTGATTTCAAGCTACCAATGTGATGCCACTGAATGTGGAATTAGGAAGAAAAACACAGTAAAACAACATCATATAGCATTTCCAGAGACATAACAAATGTAAATAATCTTAAAGCCATCAACAATAAAATATTCTGAAATTCTTAGAAGTGATAATTTGAGTACCTTTGTTTTTAATATAATTTACTTAATTGTAATTTTATGTCATTTAATTTTTCTCCACCCCCTAATGTAATTTTTTTAGTTAATAGGCAGGTTTAACTATTGTCTCGCAAAATTCCTGAATATTTACATCAGCTCTTGGGAGCTAGTATCATCTGAGCACACCTGGATCTGACCCCATCGCCCCATGTCTGCCTTGAACAGGGACCTCAAAAAACTCTCCAAACCTGATGGCCCCTCCCAATGTACATTTTTCAAGTCCTATAAGCAAAATTGAACTCATTTTCTTGCTCTCAAATCTGCTCCTCTCCAGGCTCACATCTTGGGGAATGGCTTCACCAGCTACACAGGAACCCAAGCCAGAAACCACAGTGTCACCATCCCACAAGCCCCACACCTCCTCTGGCTGCAGGTCACGGTCATCTAAAGCCCACTCAAGTCTGTCCCTGCTCTTTATCCCCTGGCCTGCTCAGGCTCACACCCCCATTGCCTTCTTCCCAGTCTCCTACAGTCTGGCACTGCCCATTCCTGCCCACTTTCCTCATGGCGTCAAAAGCACTCTGTCCTGCCCTGTTCTGTACCGGGCAAAGTCCAGACTAGTCCGTGTTCCTTGTCCTGTCTCTCCAGATCCATCTCTGGCATATCCTGCACACTCAACTTCTGCTTCAGCTACAGAACTAGCAGTAGTTCCCTTAACACATCCCATTCTCCCAAACCTCCATGCCTGGCCCATGCCATTCCCTGTCCCTAAAATTAAAATTCCTGCTTCACAAATTCTTAGCCATTCTTTTGGACTCACCTCAAATATTATCTCCCTAGTGAGCACCCCAACTGCAAGCAGAATTTATTCATTTGTTCACTCATGCATTTCTTCAGTATTGATTTTTATTTATTGCTATGTGTCAGATTCTATGCTAGGTACCGAGGATGCAGAAATGAGCTAGGCTCTTAGAAAGCTCTAATAGGGGAAACAGAACTGGGGCAATCAGCCCCCTGACAGACAGAACTCTGTGGAGGGTGCTGGGGAAGAGCAGAAGGGGGATGCCCTTACAAAGTCTCCTGGGGGCTGTAGCCCTTGATCTGAGCTTTGAAGGATGAGTAGGAGTTGGCTAGGTGAGGAATGTGGGAGAGTGCTCCAGGAAGATGGTACAAAGGCCCTGAGGCATGAGAATGCAGGCCACTACATGTGATTCACTTTAGCTAGCCCTTGGGGGTCAAGAGAAGACCATGAAGGAAGGCAAGACCAGATCTAGAGGGGTTTTAACTGGCACACGGAGAAAGCTTGAAAAAGTGTGATTCTGATAGTGATGAAGGCAATGGGAAGCAATGGAAGTCTTCCCAGTCTAGAATTACAGGACTTGGGGCCCCTGGGTGGCTCATTCGATTAAGTGTCCAACTGCATCTCAGCTCGGGTCTTGATCTCAGGGTGGTGAGTTCAAGCCCTGCCTACTTAAAAAAAAAGAATTACAGGTCTTTCAGAGAGATTGATTTGAGAAATATAATGCAGAGATATAGGGTAAGAATCAAGATGCTGCGTAACGGAACTGGCGCACTGGCTTCTCAGAGTAGCTATGGTAGCAGTTTTCCTTGGAAGCTAGGATGTCTGAACTGAGATCTGAGGAAGGAAGGGGGTGTCCTAGGTGAAGAGAAGGGATGGTGAAGTGCGATCGTGAGTGAGGCTCAGAGAGACCCCACTTACCCACCAAGAGCCCAACCTGCAAACTCACCTTCCCTTCCTTGTTACACTGTCTTCCCTCAGCTTTTTAAAGGGACCTTGCTCCCTTTAACAGAAGGCTTTCGACCATTCTGTTCCTCTTCCTGGAGAGCTTCCTGGCCTCTTCCCCCATTCTTGAGGGAACTGGTAAGTTTGGAAAGCACCCAGAATTACTTGAGGAAAAGGATCTGTTTGCAGCAGATACATTTGAATTTGCCAAGAAACTGCCACCAGCTTCACTCACTTAGAAACTGAGGCCAGGTCGTGGCTTTCTCCCTGTGGTCCCATGTCTTCATGGGTAAAATGTGGACCTTGACCTTCACTGCACATTGCACAAAATAAGTGCCCCAAAACTATTTGCTTAATGAACAGCCAGAAGAATGCAAGAGCCTGGCCAAGGCTGCATATATAATGTACGCTTGACCTTTCCCCGTGGTCAATGAATTTGTTCTTGATTGGACTGAGCCAGGGTCAATTTCTAGATGGCCTCAGGGCCACAGGCATATATGTTGGAGACTGCACACCTCAGGGTACAAAGGGTTATACCTGTTCTTGCTCAAAAATTACAGGAAATTGCTAAATGGGCCAAAAGAAGAACCAGCATGCTTGCTGCTCTCTGTCTCTCCCCTGGCCCCCAGCTGTTGCCTCATGGAGGGTCAAAACAGGCAAGATAAAATCTGTCCAACTCATAGCTCCAAAAACACAGGAGTTAGAAATGTGACCCAAGCGTGGTTCTGCCCCACCCAGTGCTGTCTCTCCTCACTGTGTGGCCCAGGGAGGCTCTGACCCAGGACTGGCCACCTCAGGCCTATATCCCTGCCTGCACCAAGTTCCCCACCCTTCTGTCTTGAGACTTTATTCTGATCTCTCATGAGATCCAAATCTGAGTTCATTTCCAGATAGTGGGCCTGGTTTTCATCTTCTCTAACAAAAAGTCCACTGTGAATCAGGGAGGGATGGAAAACCATGATCCTCCAAACCCTGCTTCTTGGCCCACTGGCTTCTCAGAGGCACTGCGGTAATACTTTTCCTTAGAAGCCAGGCCCAGCCCCACAGTACCTTGCTCCCTCCAATCTGATCTTGGTGAGGCAGCAGTGTGGATGGTGCAGTCTTCATCCCCGTCCTGACCCGGGAGCTAGGAGTCAGCTCCAGAGCCAATGACATTGAGTTGGGAGCCCTCACACAGGCCATGGGACCTGGAGGAGACTATTCTCTCCTATACCACAGAGACCAACCAAGACATATCCCTGGACATAGAATACATCCTCCCTGGAACCTGACACAGGGCCTTTGCCCAGATGTGATTTTAGATCATTATTTGTTGAATGTTCTCCAGAATTATCTGAGTGAATGAATGACTGATACTGACAATGAGTCAGGAGCCTTCAAAACCTGGACACTTCTGGGTTAAAAAAAAAAACCCTTATCAGCCTCTTTCTTCTCACCCTGAGACCCCACCTCACCCCACCAGTGAATAGCCATGCAGACCCCCTCTCCCTCCACATTCAGAGTGTCCCAGTCAGTAAGATCACATCTCCTTTCCATATGGCCCTGAGTTAACTCTTCTCCACACTTCATTCCTACTTTCCTCTTTGTCACTGTGCCCTGTCAAAGCACATATGGAGAGCCCTAACCCAGATCAACCTATATGAAATTGTCTGAGGACAGGAAGTGCTAGAATGCCCCCCATAACACACACACACACACACACACACACACACACACACTCACTCACTCACTCTGAAGAAGCACAAACTGGGCAAAAATGTAGGAATTCAATTTCACCAAATCATTTTTTTAATTATGGGATTTCCCAGTGTCTCAAAAGAAAATTACAACTCCCGGACAAGCATCTATAAGTAAAAATATAAAGACACTGGCAGCAAGCCCACTGTGGGTGGGAAATCACCAGCAAGGGGAACTCTGCTCCCCTCTAAGAGTTCTATAATTGTTCCAGAGCCATTGTTCCTGCTCCTGCAACCAACCGTACTGTACATTGTGTAAGAACCTGTCGAAAGAGCACAGGGCTGAAAGGCAGGAACCTCAAGTTCCAAACCTACAACTGCCCCCAAGTAGCTGTGTTACCTTAAATGAGCTCCTTAGCATCTATCTCTAGGCTGTCCTGTTTCCATCTATAAAATGAAAGATGGGCTTTAGATCTTCTGTCTTGGATTTCTAGTATATTCACAGTGCTTGGCCCAGTGCCACCTAGGGAGGGCTTATTAAGTACAAATGAGAAGAAATGGTCCAAGATGATTTTTTAAAAGATTTACTTATTTATTTGAGAGAGAGCATGAGCAGGGGGAGGCTGAGAGAGAGAGAGAGAGAGAAGCAGGCTC